AAAAATATTTAATATCTCTTAAAATAAGTATAATTTATAATAATTTTTAAATATTTAAGCACTTTAATAATTTCTAACAAAAAATTTTATTAAACCTGAATTAAGCATGGAATGGAGAGGCAGATGGGCTCTGGAATTAGACTGCCTTAGCTCAACTGTTAATACAACCACTGTTTGTCTCTACACAGTCCTGGGGCTGGAGCTAACCTAAATAAGTCTCTTCATCTGTAGATCCTTAGATAACTGTAGTACATGTGAGGATCATGTCAAAACCCAAATCACATATCTCATGTAAAATACACGATACCACACTTGTCATATAACAGGCACTCAGTAAATGTGTATCACTTGTATTGTTATTTTTTGAAGGTAGAAATTATACAACTATAAATGTTGATGTTTAGAATTTTCAAAATGCCTACTCATAGTAATTGGATATCTTTGAAAAGTCAATTACATCACGTAAAACTTTTGTAGTTATTGCATATGTCTTTATTTTGGATGATCATAAATTGTTGTTTTTGCCCTGTCAACAGTTGAGTATTGCAATTGGGGAAAGAAAAAGAAAATCTTCAGTTTCAGTTCATTTAGAAAACACTTTGAACCTGTTCGTGCATGTGGTAGACAATGTGCTAGAGATTACATTAAACCAAAGATGAATATGAAAAGACAGGCCCTTTAGGAGTTTATGGTTTAGTAGAATGAATAAGAACACCAGCAATATAACAATAGAAGTCATACATAGCAAGATTACTTCTATAAGGCTTGAAAATAGAGTTGATAAAGTGCCAGTTATCTGAATAGAATTCATGAAGGAGAAGGAAAGATAATAGTTGAACAAGAGGATTTGGGGACAATGTTTAAAATTATAGAAGAGAATGAGTCAGGGAGCAAAGACAAGATCCATGGAGTTTCTTTGGGAAGTGGTGAATAGTGTGGACTGCTAGGTTTTAGGTGCCTTTTGAAGAGAACGAGTGGGAAGACAGTAGATGAAGTAACAATATGAGAAGTTGGTATTAAAGAAAATATATAAAATCAGGCCTGTTTTTGAGAGAGAGAGAGAGAGAAATGAAGAAGAGTTTGGATAGGATTAAGAAAATCAGGGAGATAACCAGAGAGTTAAAATACACAGACAAACATAAAGGAGGAGAGATGGAAAGCAGATAGAATATGGGTTGAAATAGAGAAACGGTATCTGTACCCAACTTTTTCATAATCCAGAAAAAAAAATATCTAGCAGGTAAACTTGGATTTGTCATTCTAGAAAAAGGAAATAAAAGCATAGGCAGGAGGTAAGAACTTTCTGCAGTATGTTTGTATTGTGGAAGAAAGATCGAAAACTGGAAACTAACTGTCTTTCAACTGAATATCTTCTAGCTGGAAATTGTCATATCCAAACATTCTTTGTACCCTGGATGAATGCTATGAATAGTTTGCTCTAGTGTGTAAAAATACTACAAGGAATTTTTCCTGGGTACTTTTCACTAACAATGCCAAAAAGGATGCTAATTAGTGACAATTGTGAGAGCTGGTATTGGGATCTGAGCACCTGTTTGCTAAGAGCTGGATTGAGAACAACTTATACCACATAAGCCTGCTATGCAGCTGTCAGTCGGCAATGACGCTGATTTATTACTGATTTGTGCTGGATTTGATGCTGACCCAGATGAGAAACTGGCTTCCTATCTCTGATGAGTTGATCCATTCAGTGCCTTCTATAACTATTCTTACTGCAAACAGAAAACATGTCTCAGTGTTTTGTTCTTCAAGCATCAAATCAATATTGTGATGCTTTTGTGTGAGGGGAGCGTACATTAAATCTGTACAAGTTAGATCTCTCACAGGCATGAGTGTAGGTTGACAAAATAATAAAGGCTGATTTGAGGCAGTCAGGCATTATTTACCTTGGCAGTCATGGGGAACAGTTTAAGTCCTCTGCTGCTCTGAGCATCACAGCTGTGATTTACACCACCAGTGCAAAACTGAAGACTGAATTTATGACACTTTACAAGTTAGACCCTGTTGACTTCAATTCTCTTCTGAATTTTCTTCCAAACCACAGATTATCTACTGAACCACATACTTTTCAGTCTAGAGGCTACATTTTCTCTCTCAGTAAGGTAGTTTATTTATCTCCTGTTATTGATACCAACGTTTGCTATGTACTATGTCCAGGAGTGAGGTAGGACAACTTTCAAGTGTACCTAACTTACTCAACTGCATAGAAGACAGCTGACTTTTATATCCCTTCAATTTATTCATTAAACATATTGAGGAAGTCTTCTCAATGCTGGGAATGTAATAAACAAAATGGACAAAATATAGCCGGTCAGGTTGAGCACAATGAAGTAGAATAAGGTAATTGAAAGTGACAAGAATACCATTTAAGATATTTACTCAGGTAAGATTCTTTTGAGGGGGCTGAGGTATTAGTTTAGTGGTAGAGTGCTTGCCTCGCACATGTGAGGCACTGAGTTTGATCCTCAGCATCACGTAAAAATAAATAAAAGCATTGTGTCCATCTTCAACTAAAAATATTAAAAAAAAATTTGTTTGAGAAAGTGACAGAAAGGATGTGAATCTCCATGGACGTCTATTCCACATGAAAAGGAAAAGCAAATGCAAAAGTCCTGAGACAGGCATGTACTTTTTATGATGGAGAAAAAGCAACAAAACCATAATGACTAGATTGCAGGTTATAGGTGCAAAGTGCTAGAAGTCTCCAGGGTAGATCGTGTAAGGCACTCAAACCATGGTGAGGCCAAAAGCGTTCCTGTGTGCAGCAGCTCCTGCTAATCATCTTCAGCTGTGTGGGTTCATTAGAATGAAGAAAATATTAAAACATTTCATTAAATAGGTGTATTCTTCAAATCTTACAGAAACCATGGTAAACTGAGTCTCCAAGGCATTCAATTACATAAGTAATAAGCTGTTGAGTTAAAATACAAACTCAGGAACCCTTGGTTCTAAAGCTCATTCCATTTCACCACAAAAGTACAGTTAGCATGTAAAAACTGAATTCAACCTAACTACTTTTTACTATGTTCCATGATATGTGTCTATGTTCTATGATAAGGCTGTGAATAAGACAGTGAGCCTACCCTCATAGTGTAGGAAGACTGTAGGGACTGAAAGATATTGCTAAATGATTATTGTTCACTGTGATAAAGGTCATACATGTACAAGGTAAGAGCAGAGAGAAGCAATTTATTAACTTTGGTAAGATAGTGACAAAAGCGAGACTAAATCTCAATGGTTTTTAAACAGGAGATAATGAAAGGGAGGAAGGTAGAACTTCTAGTGCAAACATGAAGCCATGTAATACATGACCTGAACAGAAAAGTGAAAATAGTTATCAACAGTTCAGAAGTGGAGCTGGAGTTCAGGCTACTTGTACATATCATTGTGTCACATTCTTCTGTGACAGCCAGTGTCCTGATTGATGAATGCCGGGTCTATATCATGATTAAATATGTTAATGTCATTCAACAGCTATTGGCCTTGAGTCTGAAGAGAGGGTCTAGATCACTAATGCCACACCAGTCATGGGGGGCTTTACTTGTGGTTGTTCTCTCCCACTGAAGGGAGATAGGAAAAAAAAAATAAAGAAGAAAATAGGAAAAAATAAACTGTCTAAATACATTCTAGTTTTTAGCATATCACAACAAATATAAAATGTGTCTGAAGATTTTTTTTTTTGTACTGGGGATTGAGGCAGTTAACCACTGAGCCACGTCCACAGCTGGTTTTATATTTTATTTTGAGACCAGAGCTCACTAAGTTGCTTAGGGCCTTACTAAGTTGCTGAGGCTGGTTTTGAACTTTGGATCCTCCTGCCGCAGCCTCCTAAGCTTCTTGGATTACAGATGTGCACCACCATGCTGGTCTATGAAGATTTTCATTTTACTGAAATATTATTAGGGAATTTTCAAGGTTAATTAAAAAACCCCAAAGTATCAAGATAATACTTTTTAAAAATGTAACTCTTAGGAAATTTCTACCTTTTTATTTAGTGTAGATTGATTACCATGACTTGTTGGCATGTGTCTTAATGAGAAACTGAAACATAGTTATGATGACACGTATTATACTTTAACCTTTTTTTTTTTTAGTATTTCTCTGATGTGTTCATTCTTGCTTATTTCATGATTTTTAAGCTAATTTCATAAAAAAAAGTTAGCAATGTGAGATAAAGGTTAACCTTTATTTAACAAGTATAACAGATCCTTGTTATTTCTTTCACCTTTCTTACCTTTTCAATCTTATGTGCTACAAGATTCTTTTCTTGAGCTGTAAGATAGGCAAACATGAGAATTGACAGCCATTTTTCTAGCCATCAAAGTAATTGAAGCTTTGCATCTTAATGGTTCCTTCTACTGCTGAGAACCCAGATGAGAGTTTCTTATTCTTTTTCCCCCTGTTGTTGTTTTTTTAAAAAATAAAAATAAAATTAAAGCAATCTAACTTTCAATCATGTCATAGTAAACCTCTAAAATTTAGAGACATTTTCTTAAGCTAAAATTGTGTTGCAACAACTCTTTGCTACTACATAAAGATGTGTTTAAGACAAAAGTTATTAAAATTTATCACAAAAACTGGTAATTTTGAAGCATTTATAATCTCCATCTCTGATCACACCTCCCTAAACAATCTCTCATGTTTAATGCATGCAAGTATATTGTTTAACTTTTTTCTCTGATCAAAAACCTAAATTTATACATATTTTTCCCAATGGTATTAAATTGCATTTTTTAACTAGAAATGGGAAATCTATTAGGTTTGACAAGAAGTATATACTCTTTTTTTTTTTTTTTTTTTTTCGTGCTGGATGCTTATCAGAATGTGGGATACACACAATTTAAGGTTTTTGTATCTTTCCAAATATTGCAAAGTTATTTTAAACTTGATCAGTGAATTTTTAATATAGCTATTTAATGAATATTTGTAGAGAAACAGTAATGAAGATTCTGATGTTGATTGTGTTCTTTTGACCATCACAGATTAAAGAGCATCTGGCTAAGGGGCAGCGAACTCTGGCAGGTGATGGAATGTCCCAGGTAACGAAGACACTGTTGGATTTAACTCAGAGGAAAAATTTTTATGCAGGAGATCTTCTGATGTCTGTGGAAATCCTCAGAAATGTTACAGACACATTTAAAAGGGCAAGTTACATCCCTGCATCTGATGGTGTCCAGGTAAGAGAAACAATCTCATGAAGGAAAGGACCAGATAAGATGCAATCAATTTTTAGCACCCAGAAGCCAGTGTAGCCACCTGGTAGTAAGCCTGGACTGCAGGGAGAGAATGCTCACCCCTGCAGGGAAATATCAAGGCTGCGCTTAGTGTGAACTCTGGAAATGACCTCAATTCCTTTCCTCATTCTGCACCTCAGAGTCCTCAACCATAAAGTGCACATATTACACCTCAAGGAGATACTGAATGAAAATGTGTGTGGAGTGCTTTGAGCCCTCAGATAAAAGGCATTACAGCAAATTCAAGGTAGTATCACGGATATTTTATTCCCACATTTAATATCAACATCTTGCCATAGGAGACTATTAAAAGTACATTAAGTATAATGAAAGCACATTAACTGTAACATGCAAAGAAGACATAGTTTAAGGTTTGTTTGGGGGTTTGCTATTAGAAGAGGGAGAACCGTATTTAATTTTGTGCAATCATTGCCAGAAAATATAAGGCAGATAGAAATTGATCTGAATAGGAAAATAAGAAATTTACAGCATTTTTTTTTCTTACCATGGAAGACTTTTAGAGCAACATCATTTATTTCCATAATAGTGTTTAAGTATTCAACCAGTTTTAGTGTTGCCTTTGCCAATGAAACAAAGCTTGTTGAATGGCAAAATAATAGCATATTTAATGCAACCTCAGTTGGCATTTCAGATTAACTCTTTTTGTGCTATAGTCTAAAATGTATTCATGCCAAGAGTGTTGAGTTGATTTCTGCATTTCCAGCTCAATATTCTTCCTATTATCTCTGTAAAAAGTTGATTAAAATAAAGGATTGGCAAAACTCCCAGATCAGGTATTGTTTTCTTCATTTGGGAGTTTTGTTTGCATTTCACTTTTTAAATACATCTTTGGTTTTTGTTTGCTCTTTTTTTTTGGATTTTTTGTTTGTTTTGTTGTTGTTGTTTGTTTGTTTTGTCTGCTTGTTTTGGTTTTGGATTTAATTAAATCTTGAGTGAAAGAGAAAAAGAAGGGTTTTTTTGGAATCATGGAGTTATTTACAAATAATATTGCTGCCTTGATTTATGTACTAAAATTTGATGCACATGCAACTGAGAGTATCTCCTGTGAGAATTATTGGTGCTGCATTCATAGATTATATCATCAGTGTTCACTTTTTAAATTATATTTATAAAATTCCATCAGGAAGGGTGGAATTGACTTGAATAGAAGGCTGACTTCCTTTAGTCATTTTAAAGATGATGTTTTATACAAAGAATGAAGTAATTTTTAATATTAACAAGTTAATAAAGTTATATACAGCTATTCCCTGCAGTTCTGAAATAATTATATTAGCATTGACATTAAAACCTAATATTTGAAGTCCTTGACACAAGATACAACTTTTAATTTAAAAAACAAAACAAAACAAAAATACACAGGCTCTGAGACACTATGTTCACAGTTGAAACATCCAGCAGAATATTGTACTAAATAATCTCTAACTCTCAAAATAATTGAGTTCTAAGATTTTATGTAGTAAATTGAAGAAACTAAGGGTATCAGGTTATGTTCATAATGTATTTTGAGATACTCATTGGAATACATGAGTCAACGAGCAATTAGTTTAACTAATTGCTTAATCTTAAACACTAGCTGGTTTGACTTAAATGAAACAATTTGGCTGATTATTTTGTGGCCATTTTGTTCTAGTCAGAAATAGGTTTCTTCATTTCTACCCTATGCTCTCTTCAGTCCTCCACATATACACAACGTCCAGAACTCACTGGTATCTTCCTAATTCCCTTACAAGTGGAAATGTTATTTTTCTATTCTATTGATTTTGCTGGCATCTTTTCAGCCACATGGAATACTATCCTTTTGTGGTATTCTTTCTTCTCTCAGCTCAACTCTGTCACTTCTTTCCCATTGCCAGACCACCAAATCCCTAACTCTGTTTAAAAACGGTGTTTCCTTTCTCTGAAATCCCAGAGAACTCTTACCTCTCTTATTTTACTTTCCAGAATTCAATATAAATGGATACATGTATACCTTGTCTTCTTTGCTTTATTATAAATTTTGTGGCCATCTTCAACATTCCATGTACTTTACATAAACCTCAACTTGCCATTTGTGAAAGTTCTGGACATTTCCAATTGGCAAGCACCCCAGACTTCACGTGATATAAATTCATCTTGAACTCCAAATTTTCTTGCATTTTTTAGTTTACTTTGTGGAATTTGCAGTCCTAGCCTAGACTTGTAATGTCACCTTGATTTTTGCCTTGTCTTTCTTTCCTGTTGGGTCTACCAGCACAATGCTTCTTCCATCTATTCTTTCCTCAGTCTTCCCACTGCTGTTATCCTAACCAGCCTCTAATGAGCTCAGCCTCCATGATATCTGTGGCCTTTTTTCTTTGATCCTTTCACATATTTACCTCTATTCCTATCCATGTTACACACTATCTTCCTGTTAGTTGTCCTGGGACAACTAAGAAACATCTAAGAAATCTTTAGGGGATTCTCAAGGACCCCTCGATGACATCCCAAAATCTTAATATTGGCTTCTAGTACGCTGTGCAGTATGTAGATTATCTATGTCTCAAGCTTCTTGCCTAGATTGCTCTTCCTCTTTACAGTTAATTTGAGCCAAATTAACCCTTCCTCCTTCCTGAATGCATTGCACATTCTTGGCTCTGGGTCTTTGCTTCCTTTGTGCTTTCAGACTGGCTTAGTCTGTCTCAACCTTCCAAAGTCACCTCTTGGTACTCTGGGCCTCTGAAACTTTTTCTCCTGCACCTCATTATATCTTAAATTATTAGCACTTGCTACAAATTTTTTGAAAAAGAAGAAATTTTCCTGATCCACCTTTGAACCCTAGCCAAGCTCCAGTCTCCTACCCCAAATAAGATTTAGAATCAAATCTTGACTAGAGAAGCCATTTAAAAAAAAAAAAAATGAAGAAACAAAAAGTTGGTTAAATTAGTCAACAGTAAAACTAATAAGAACAAATAATCAAATAGTTATCATTGAGCAGTTTTCATATTTTGTCCCTCAGTAGCAAACAATGAGCAAGAATAACAAATAAATTAAGTAAAACTATGTAAAAAGAATACATTCTTTTAAATGTGGTTATATACTGAGCATTTTATTTAAAATGGTTAATATGCTGGCTTCAAAAAATTGATTTAGTGTATTAATGAAAGAGAATCAAAATAGCTGCAGCCTGCATTATACACACATGCACACACATATCTATGTATATGAATATATTTTTATTAGAAATCAAATAAATTAAACTGTGAAGGCCTCTGACAAAATTAAAGGCTTTAGGGTGGCTATGATAATGTTATGACTTAAGAGGATGAGAACTGGCATGATTCCTCTCAACACATGAAGCTCTTCTCTTTGTTCAGATGACTTTTGTAATTACCAATATTATTTCCAAAAAGACAAGATTTGGGAGGGCTTTTGTTTTGTCCTGTTTTGGTTTGGTCTTTGAAGAAAATGTATCCATGGAAAATTTCATTCAGTAGAATTGCTAAAAATCACTAAGGCATTTGCATTTTTGTCATCTAGACTTGCTCAATAATCATAGTCCAGGACAGAAAAAAAAATCATTTAAAAATATAGAACTATATGTTTACCCTTAAATTTTTAAAGTTTGTAAATGATTATTATATTTCCCCATGTGAACTCAGTGAATCTGTTTCTTTTATGTTAGTAAGGTTTTCTTTTGTCTTTTCTTTTTAAAAATTTTACTTTATTAGCTGTGGCTTGACACTTCATAAACCAAAATATGTTTCAGCTTAAAGAATCCATAAAATTATGAAGTTAAATGTTCCCGATAATTCACAGTACTGAGAAACAGCATTATAATTACATGAGCCACTGAAACTTCAAGTTCTTAGAATAAGTGCCCTAAATTTTATTATTTATGAACAATAATTTGTTACCATTGACAACTAAAAAAAGGAGGAAGAAAAATATATAACTCATATAATTTTATACCAGAAAAGTATATAGCTTTGCCTTATCAAATGAAGATAATTAGGACTTAAAACCATTACAGTGTAAATTCTCAGAAGTTCAAAATATAATTGCCTATCATTTTATGGAGAAATGCAAGGCTGAATCCCTTTACAGTTTGCTAAATCAACACCAAATTCTATTAAAATGTGCACAATTATTTCAATAAGCAACAGAGCCTAACTACAAAGCAGGGAAGTTTGCCTTTATTTGGTACTCTGTCTTCAGGTAACCATTTAGCTCTTTGGCAGCTATTACACATTAAGGTTATGCCCAGCATCAAACATATGCATGATACCTATTTTTTTTAATGCCAGAAACCTGAATTAGAACAATAAAAAGAGAGAAGCAGCAAAGCAAAACAACAGAAATAATTTCTGACATTAACAATACCCTACACAGGCCACTCACCAGCTCTCCAAGAGAAGATTTTCATGGGTTACTTAGCATCTGCACCCTTCCTGGTCAGGCACTAGGTCATAAAATGAAGCTCCACATTAAGTCTTTTTTTCTTTTTACTGGTAGGTATCCATCTTTGGATATTACTGTGAAACTGTTTCATCCTGATCTGGACAATATCCTCTCTAATATACACCATCATTTCACATCTAAGACAGAAAAGGTGCTATATGTGATACACTACACTAAGCTGCCTTTCATTTTAAGTCCCATTCTAATTTATAATTTATAAGATGTTGAAAAAAAGCTATGTATCTAAGAATGATAAACCATAATTATACAACTTGGTATCTGGTATACCATCTTGCAAAAATCTTTTCCCTTCAGGCATATTCTTTTCCTAACCTACACTTCATCACATCTCCCAGAACTCATATGAGTTCTCTAAGTGTCGTATCCTTCCCTTTTCCAATTTTAAGATTTGAATCAAATATATTTTTTTTCAAAAGTCTTCTCCCCAAATTTAGGCAGAACTGGATTTTCCCTACTCCTCTGGCCTTTTGAAACCTTATATACAT